AAAAAAAAACCTAACCAAGTTACTGTATTTCCGCCAAGTACATCACCTGTTACATGCTGCTGTTGAGATTTTATAAAGAGAAAACAAAGCTGGTTCCCTTTCAGCAAGACGCTTTGTTTTGTGGAATGAGGAAGGTGGGCCATAAAAGCTGGTTTAAGATTATGATGGAATGAGGATATAGATAAGAAAAACACTGATTAAACTTTTAGGTGATTATATGAATACAGGTGGATTTAAAAGGAGTTCAATGACCCTGAAAGTATGCTGATGTTTTAAAACATCTGTTGCTGAAACAAAAACACAAAAGATGTTTGAATTTATAGTTGTATTTAACCTAACTGCAACCAGTAATGACCAAAATACAATATAATTACTGGCAATCAAAATATACTCAAGTCCTAAAGAATTAGGAAGAAAATATATCACTGTATTCTCATTATTAGGTTGTACGAAATCGTACGAAAAGTTATGCACCGTAATGTTGTACGTTTTAGACGTTTTTTTTGTCGTATTTCATCGTATTTTTACGTCCTGCCTCGAGACAAGATATCCTTGCGCATGCGCATTCAATAACATAGAATTTAACATACAAGTAACCCTAACCCTGACCCTAACCCTAAGATACAAAACAGCAAGAAACCTAGTGAGAGACATCAAGAAGTAATTATTGCACTGTTTTTCCCAGTTTTACATCCGTCCACGGATCTGCTTTTTTCGTCTGTCTGGCTGCGCGTGCGCACTGATCTGTTTTTTCGAGGAAAAACGTCCAAAACGTACGAAATACTGTGCATAACTTTTCGTAGGATTTCATACGAACTGATAATGAGAATATGCTGAATATATATACCCTTTCTTCTCCTGTTATGTTATTCCCAGTTCTTCCCTGTCAAAAATGCAAATGCAGTTTAAGAAAAAAATTTGAGATTTAAAATACAAAAGACATAATGAGATTTCAAAGAATGTGAACTTAAAGGTTGATATTCACACCTAGAAAACCATAGCATGTAGTTTTCCACTTTGTTTTCACTCATTGCAAGGAGCCTCACCACTAGTGTTACTGCTCAAAGAGTCACATATGGAGAAGAAGTGCTAATTTCTTAAATTGCAATAGTTTACAATATTTTTTTAAGAGCAAGGCGAGGCAAGACAAGTTTATTTATATGAGATAATTCAGTAAAAAGACTATTCAAAGAGCATTACATGAATTAAACTACAATGGACGGCACAGATGAACCCAATATTCAAGGTGAGTCAGACAGTGGGAAAGTTCAAAACGTTTATTAACAGAAAATAAAACAGAACAGAAGCGTAGAGCTATGGGTCCTTGGACCGCAGTGACTACAGTGGGGCACAACCACAGAGACTCTGGTTTAACAGTTCATTCCATCCTCTCCAAGGAAGGCATAATCTATCCAATGGACTGCCAAAGGTGAGTGCTCCCAATGCAGTAACCTCAGCGAGCAGGCAGGAATCCCATCCAGCTCAGAAAAACTGATCAGACAGGAGCAGTTCTGGAATCCAGGAGTTGTAAAATTGTAAAAAAAAAATTAATAAATAATGCTCTATCCAGAATTCCTCAAGTGGAAGAGTTTAAGTTTCACCTGATTTAATGTTCTAAAAAGTCTTCTTTAAGGAACCTTTTGCTATCTGATTGTTAATCCATTAATTGAAAAAAATAATATTTAGATTAATTGATTTATAAACTAATTGGTAGTTGCACCCCTAAATAGGTTATTCAAATAAAGGCTAAAACCAATCAATGATTATTAGTTAGATGATTATCACTGTAATGTGCTTATTGACTTGGGTGCTTAGTATTTTACATAAAGGTTGGACCCCTTGACTGGCTGTTTAGAATCCAATTACCTTTCACCCGTTTACGGTAGTAATTTATTAATCACCAACCAAAGAAATGTCAATACAGTGGTGGTAGGTCAGGGCCTTCAAGGCCTTCACTGCTAGCCTAAAATCCATCAGAAACACAAACCTACATTCCGACCTAAACTTTATTTTTCTTCTATCTCTCTATTAGTTTATTCAATCCGTTCTCTTAATTTTTTATAGCCTGGCTGCACCATTACATTTCTGTGGTTGCTTTCAGCACAAAGAGCAAGCTCACAACACTACACTACGTGAGAAAGTAGAAAACATTGAGGGTTTATATCTAAACCCTCACCAGCGGGAGCTTTTATAGATTTTCCTCGGTGCGGACAGAATTTCCACACAGAGTCCTGTGTAGGGCCGTGGAAGCCCGAAACGTTACCAACACTGGTGGTCACAAAGACACTAACTGGTTTTCCAATCCTTTTGGACTCCTAATAAAGTAAATATGACAAATTTGAAAAAGCCTTTTAATTTTCCGATTATCATGCTTACTAGTGGCAATATCGATGTGTGAAACTTATGAGGTAGATCGATTATCCAAGGTTACACAGATTTAGACAGAATTGTGAACAATAATTGAGAGAAATACTATTCTGAGTTTAAAATGTATGTCTTAGATTTTTCTATTAAATTCAGCTTATTTATATAGCGCCAACTCAAAACACATGTCATCTCAAGGCACTTTACAGTTCACTAGTTCATCCAGTCAATTGATTCAAAGTTTTCAATCTAAGGAAAACCTGTTAATTGCATCGACTCATTGACTCAAATGCAAAACCCCACACTAAACATGCTTTTAGCAATAGTGGAGAGGAAAAACTCTCTCTCACGGACTAAAACTGGTAGTTGGTTCCACAGGAACTAAAGGAACTAAAAGATCTGCCTCCCATTCTACTATTAGAAATTCTAGGAACCACTAGTAAACCTGCAGCTTGAGAGTGAAGTGCTCTGTTATGAACTCAAGAAACAATCATATCTTTGATATAAGATGGAGCTTGGCCATTTAAGG